AAAAAAGTCTAAATTCGCCGAAATATGATCTGGGTACTGCCTTAACATACCTGCGTACTTCCCAAATTATTTCAGCTACAGGTAGTAGGCGAGCTAAACACTTTAAATTGCAAATGTAGACAATTTTCAAACAATAAATAACAATTGTTTTATGTAATAACCATTTCAGATACCAAAATGCATATATGTATATAAAGATCTGTTTAAATAATGATTCAATATATATTTCTTCTCTGAAGTTTATAAATAGTAGAGCATTCTTAATGGTATTCAATAAATCACTAACTTTGAATTTAAACAAAGCATGGTGTAAAAAAAAATTATAAAACTTTGGAGGGTTGTTTTTATAGCAATTTACAGGTGGAAGTTGAAATCCATGAGTAGCTAGACAGTTATGCATATTTTCTAAATGTCATTCTCTGGGCATGAACACATTAATGGCTTACAAATTCAGTCAAAGATTAAAAGTGGCATAGAAAAGTTAAACAATTTATTTAACTAAAGGCAGGTCTTAATGACACATTAAATTATCTTCTATTCTTTTTGATGATCATGCAAAAAAAAATTGAAATGTTTTCATACCTTTACCTATGAGATGTAGAACAAAATTGTTGATAAACATGAAATCAGTATTAATGCTTTATGTGCCTTATGATTATAAAACAAACTAATATTTTTATAAACAAGCCAATATATCAAATTCATTAATCAAGATATAAAAAAGAAAGATTTTGAAAAAAAAAAAACATCAAAAAAAAAAAAAAAAAACAGAAGGGCTTCTTTGAGTTAAATAACTGTAAAATGTGACTGTGTTGGAAATATTTTCCTATTGAATACACATAATATGTATTATGTTCAGTAATTGCACTGTAATTGAAAAGTAATTGAAATTACAGGGTATTTTTTATCAATGTTATTAATTATTTTTAATTACAAGTAATTGAAAAATTGGTCAATTACAAATTACCTCCAATTACTTTGAAAAATGTAATTACCGGTAATTACACTCAATTACAATTTCTTTTTTTTTTTCAATTACCCCATCCCTGGTCAATCTACTAGAGAGGTCAGTATACTCATCTAACTCTAACTCCATTCCATCCACCAGAGAGGTTAAAAGAAGCAAACAGTGAAGTCCTTTCTTATATTGCAAAGAAAGTAATGAAAATTTGTCGTAACACAGACAGAAGTGAATTAAACTCAATAACATTAACCTCTCAATTACATTTATGTGTAGGAGGCTAAGACTGAATCGCTTTGTAAAATGGACTTAATGAAACACATTTTTCAGGAGGTTGATGATCGCTTTGCTACAAAAGGAAGGGGTGGTGCAAGGGAAAAAAAACGTGTTCAACATGGGAATTCGTTTGGATCTGATTCTAATTTACAATATCCACTCCAAGTGAATCGTTGCGATCATCCATAAGTTCTCTTTCTGCAGACATTGAAGTGTTGGAGAATGACGCTAAGTCCCCAGACAGAGATTTGCCGTTTGAAGAAAATCTTATCAAATGCAGCATAAACGAAAATTTATGACAAAGTATATTTTCCTCAAATAAAGGAAATTAATTTCCTTAATAACAGAAAAAAGACCATCAAAGAATTATATTATGAATTTGAAATAATTCAGACTCCTACTGCTAATATTTTAGTGTTCTTTATTGGATGCCTATCAACCTCAATTTTATGGAATCAGCTATTTGATTCTCTCAAAAGCTGTAATTCTCTCACATCTTTTAAATCAACATATTTGCAGCATTATAATTCTAACAAGTGATATTAATGTTTTGAACCACCTTATCTTTTAGCGCAGAGAACAAATATTATACTCATATCAATTAATATGATATTATGTAAATATGATTCCCTTTTTCTCATTTATCTGTCCTTGATTATGTTTTATACAGTACCAAAACGTTAACTAACGTTTGTTACTAATTTTTCTATACTGTCTAAATAAAGAATTTATTATTGTTTCCCAAAATAAGCGCTCTCTGGGCGTTTGCGACATCAAGCTAAGAGACACAAAATGTAAAGAAACATTAGACCTCTAAGCCATGATTATTGCTGATTTTGTGACGATTAGGTTTATGCTCCAATAAAGGACTCGATTTATGCTCCTAAAAAAGGACTCGTCACTGCATGCTGAGTTTCAATCTTTATTGTTGAATTCAAAATTATTACATGAAACTCGCTAAAACTCTACTCTAAAAACTAAAACCCTCAGACACACATCAAATCTCCCCCCCCCCCCAACTCCTCCACATTTCTATAAAACTGAACAGCAATACAAAAGGAAAAGGGTTGACATAAATTTAAGGTAGAATTCTTACGACAGGAAATACTCAACCTTTTATCTTTACGCTGAATGTAAAACTTACAATACTGGCATTGAAACTGTGGCACAGGAAGGGGAGAGATGTCAAATTGATAAAAATAACACAAATGCTGATAAAGTAAAAGTAAAATATACAAATTCAATAATTGACATTACCCTCGGCTCAATGAAAAATGTTTTCACTACATTTTTCTAGAGTAAGTACATTGCTAAAATGGGAAAAGAAACAATTATTAAATAAAGACAAGAATAGCAAATTTTTGTACAATGCCATCGAAGGGTACCATGATTCAGTAACATTTAGTGTTGTGCAATGATATCGATATTCAAGTATATTGCAATTCGTTGACAAAAAAAATGTATTGCAATACATTTTTTCAGTACCAGTATACCGGCAAAATGTTTGGGCTTGGTAGTTCTAAAGTGAAATATGAAATTTAAAATGTCAGAAAGGTTTTCAATCGTGCTACCCATAAGGTTGCTGTTGTATTGTTACACTTCGTTGCAAAACTGTGGTGAAATCAACAAGAAGTTTTTAAAATTGTTACAATATAATTATAAAAGTTTTATACACTCTGCTTATAAATGGAGGTTAATGAAATAAGGAAAGATTATTTTAACTGTATTTAAAATATTGCATGCATATCGCAATACAGCTAAAAATATCTCAGTGTATTGCAGTATAAAATTCCTAGCCGATAACCATCCCTAGTAACATTGAAATCAAGTCCAATAAACAACTCATAATAACAACCAGCATTAAAGATTTTTGTAAAATAAAATATAAAACAATGTCATTCCCTCATTATTTTACTATTGTGTAGGTGATTCATCTAATTATTAAATAAGGAAAGTGAAAATATTAAAATATGTAGTCCGACTTCGAAATTGTTATTGATTATAAAACTGGGAATTAACATGTTTTTCTTAAACAAAAGAAAAAGTGAAATGATATAAATATAATAAAAATATAAAGTGTAAAACTAACATTATTCATTCCACATATCTGTGTAAACGCAGAAAACTGATTTCATTTGTTTACTCTAAAACAACAAATATGAAACCCTTTCGTGGTTTTCAATGTACACTGGAAGAAAAACAAGATGTGTTTGTGAAACACTGATGCCCCCGTATGGCAGTTAATGACAAAGGTTAAAGTTTCTCAAATGCAAGTCAAACTCCAAGGTCAAAAATTTTGTTACCAAGAGAAAAGGCTTGTGTTGATGGATATGTAAATATGAAAGCCCAAGCACCAACCATTCAAACGTTATGGTCAAGGTGAAAGTTTTTTCAAAAGTAGGTCAAACTCCAAGGTCAAGGTCAAAAGGTTAAAATTGTTGGTATCTTAAGGAAGGTCTTGTCACAAGGAATATACCTGTGAAGTTTGAGAGTCCTGGTGCTAACTGTTCAAAAGTTATGGCCAATGATAAATTTTCTAAGAATGGGTCAAACTCTAAGGTCAAGAACAAAAAGGTAAAAATATTTACACCTATGGAAAAGTCTTGTCATGATGAAAACACATGTGAAATATGAAAGCCCTAGCACCAACTCTTCAAAAGTTATGAGCAAGGATATAGTTGGGTAAAATTTTGCAAAAGTTGGTCAAAGTCCAAGGTCAAGAGGTCAAATATGTTAGTATCCAAATTAAGGTCTTGTCACAGGGAATACACATGTTAAATATGAAAGCCATAGCTCCAACCATTCAAAAGTTATGGGCAAGGTTTAAGTTTTTGCGGACAGACAGACAGACGGACGGACAGGGAAAAAACTATATTCCCCCGAATCTTCGATTACGGGAGCATTAAAATGTTTTTTTCAAATATAAAAAGAAAAAAAAATATGTATATTTGAATATACGGGGACAACAAGATAGGAATACAAAATGCTACCATACTACAATATATAATGATTACACGCCGTTTGACAAATAAAGGAATTTTTGTTTTCTTGACAATGTTCTTACAATCTGATGTTACATCATCAAAATCTATCTACTGTACTTATAATCAAATCACAACCATTTTACTCTATATTGTTCTTTTTCATTCACTTTTTTGATGATAATTTTCTCAATTTCATAAATCTGATCTTCATCTTTTTTTCATTTTGAGTCATATTGTCAGTTTGATCATTCTGATCTGGGATTTCATCATCTCCTAAAAAGACAGGGTCATGGCATCAATGTTGTCAGTAGGGGCTTCGTTTAATCGCAAGGTTTACCCTTCCCCTCTTTTAAAATGTTAATGTGAATTCCTTTCTTAATTGCCTTAACATCTGAGCAATTTCACACGAATCAGATTTTTTTCTGATATATACTTTCTACTTTGAAACGATCTCTTGAGTTCAATATTATGGCAGCAAATTCAAAGCCATTGGGGATTATACATAAGGAAAGAGGCGGCCACTTCGGAAAGGTATCAGTTATTATTTGTGATTTTTCATTACTTGCCTCCAGTAATGTGATGATGTATTTCTAGCACACGTTTGAAAAAAATTTAGAGATCACAGATATTGAGATATATAAGGAAATATCAACAACTTCTCATGCACTTGACAGCAGTGGATAAAATATACACTGACAATTTTTCCATATCTGTTTTTTTTTCTTCAAGTTAATATCTCCATCAGCAAAACTTCTTGCCATCATATACTACATTCATATGTATTTAATTTTCTTTATTTTACCACTGCCCCACTCAGCAACAAAGAGATTGTCTTTAGGGTCTACACATAAACCATATGGATGGAACACATCACAGTTATCAATATAACGAAGGAACTGACCGTCCTGATGTAGGACGTGGATACAATTTAGAAAAAAGTCAGCTGTGAGGATTTGACTCTGGCTGTCAGTTGTGATGCAACGTGGATCAAATGATCTCTTATTAGTAGAGGGATGACCAGTGTATCTAAATCGAAGATTTCCTGCGTAATTAACCACCACTACTGCTTTGGCTACACAATCAGCCACACAGATATCCAGGTTTCTGTTCTCACTGATGTATTTAAAAGAACCAGATGAATACAGAGGTATATTTTTACTATCAAACTGAATAGTTTGTTTCTCTATGGAGCCAGAGTAACGGACAACTTTTGATTGTGTAGAATCATCACTATCCATGGTAACCAGGAGGTCACCAGAGGAGGTACTACAGATGTTGCAAGGTTCCCATCCCTGTAACCTAATCACTTCCTGTATCTGTTCATTCTTCACCATGTTTATAGTTCTTGTTTCACGGTCAGTATAAACTAGATCTCCACTCCTCGTCACTGTAATGTCACCTGGTCTTTTTCCCGACTTGGTTTTGATTGACTTCAATAGTTTACCCTGGAGGTTGTAAAGTCTCATGACTTTGCCATACCTCATTGTCCAGACTTCTTCATCATTGAGACAGGCTAAACTGTATAGGTTGTCATACCCTGTGTCTATGGTGGTGATGAGCTCTGGTTCATCAAGCAGTGGTTTGACTGGTGGACAGGATACATCTTCTGGTGTCTTCATTGTGTAACCGTATTCTTCAGTTGTAATAGATAATGCTGACAGAGAGCCAAATATTTGATTGAGATGTTCCGTGTTGATCTTCTGAGGAGAAAAATTTGGTAATGAAACACTGACTTCTGGAGGTAAATGTCTGAACTCTGCATTTCTGGATTTGTATACAGAGGCTAAGAAGATATTATTGGATTCAAGAATTTTCTTCAGATCAAGAATGCTCTGGTTCAGATCTGAGGTCATTTGAGTGATTTCTTGTTCCTGTTTATTTAGAACAGCCAGGTGTTTTGTTTTCATCTCATCAATTTCAGATTTTTGTTTGTTGACAATGACGTTAATTTCTCTTTGCCAGTCTTCCCCTTGTTTGATGACAGCTGTTGTCAATTCCCCATAGTGTTTTTCCAGGTTGTCTTTCTTAGTTTTTATGCCTGATACAATTTCTTTATATTTTGGGTAAATTCTAACCTCAAGTTCTCTCAAGTCTGTTTCCATATCTTTTGTTTTGGAGCTGAGTTTTTGTAAAACATCTGATAAATAGTGTCCTTTATGGTTACCGGAGGAGATACATGTAGTACAGATAGGAATGTCACATTTGTCACAGTAAAGTTCACAATTATTCAAATGGCTTGGACATTTTGGATAGTTAGGGGTTGAGTTTTTTTCTGTATATGGTACGACTCTGTGTTTAATGGTTGAATCAGAGATATGCTCTCGTATACAAGCTGTACAGAAGCTAACTTGGCAAAGTTGACAATGACTCTGTACTACATGGTTCCTGCAAATGTCACATCGTAGGATGTCTTGAGCACAATACCGTGGGTCCATCACTGATGTTTTGGCTGCATGCTCATATGACACTGAATTAAGAAATAAAAGACATTTTCATACCACTGATTAAATATATGTATTCATGAAATGAACATTGTGACTTGATGCCAAAATTTAATACTGTCGGAGAACAAAGCAATAACAATTCACCAACTAGAAAGTTTGCTATTGCAAGCAATAGCGTATGTCGCTCCGAATTGGCTTTAATAGAAATGGTCTAAAAGTGTATTATTCTGTTTTTGTTTGTTTGTTTGTTTGTTTGTTGTTTTTTTTTTCTTTTAAGAAGCTTTTAAGAACACATGGTCCAGTTGCTGGGATTTGACTACCGACCCTTGGATTGTGAAGGATTTGTTGTGCGGAGATAATAGTTTTGACAGGCAGGATTGGTGATTAATAAAAATTTTGATTTCATCAAAAAACTTTTTTTGTTTTATTTCTGATTGATGAACATGAAATACATCAGAACACAGATGTTTATTCATGTAACTAACACTAACATATATGGAGAATTGGATTGTATTGAAGGAATGATATCGCTTATTTAATATATATTATGATCATGATGATAGCTGTGCAAGTTCATTTCATTTCTTAAAATAAGGTAGCAATGCTCAATAAATGTATAACTTGTATAATTATTTTGTAAAAAGAAAGAGATATCGTTATTTTATAATTTCATAAAGTATTATCTGTTAATTGGATTTTAAAATAGATTGCATCATGTCATGAAATTGACATTAGAAATCAAATGGAAATTTGAATTTTTGTTTCTAGATAAAATATTTCATTTTTTCATCACTAAAACAATACCCAACCCATTAGCTAAGCTTGGAAAACCATCAACTCGTATCAGTCCTTTCAGTACTTTGATAAAAAGAAACATCTGATGGCATACAATGGTCACGTGACTGCGGCTTTTCTTAAATCATTTGTTCCTTACCTGGCGTCAGCGACAAACCTTGAAAAAATAAAATATCCCATGCACAACTAGGGTTGGTGATTTTTATTTCTGTAAAGTTTCATGAAGATTTTGAAAGCCATCTACGAGAACGCTCGAGTACAAAACTAAGGTGAACCAAACTACGACTTCGTTCCGGTGGCTGAAGCGATGGGCATGCTCCAATTTTTTCGCGGAAAACAATTTGATCCAGTAGAAGGAATAAACCTTAAAAGTTTCCAAAAGTTTGCTTGCGTAGTTACTGAGAAAAATAGAAATTAAAAAATTTTCACTTTTCGTTTGTTTCCATGACAACGGTAGTAATTTAGAAAATATGAATGTTGTTTGCACACCTAGAGTTTCTAATTATAATTTCTGTAAAGTTTCATCAAGATTGTCCAAGCCACCTCTGAGAACATCGCACGACTACAATTACTGATCATCATTTCCATAAAGTTTCATGATGAATGTTAAGGGACCAGAGAGAACACTCCCGGACAAAATTCCTCACTTTTCGTACATTTCCATGGCAACGGTAGCCATTTTGAAACTGAAAGTCTTCACTGCACAAGTACCGCTAGTGATCTTCTTTTGTGGAAAGTTTCAGGAAGATTGTCCCAGTCATCTGCGAGAAAATCCCCTGACACAGTTTTTAGGCGTACAATAGCAACATGTCGCCCGACTTCGTTCGGGGCGACATAATTAGGTGTAGTATACTCTCTCTCTCTCTCTCTCTCTCTCTCTCTCTCTCTCTCTCTCTCTGTGTGTGTGTGGTGGGGATAATGCCCTTATAAGATTGAATTATTTTTTTAAAAATATTTTTATTATTAAGTTTCACACATATTTCATACATATTTCAAATGTTAATTGTAAATCTTTACAAAATGCACACAGTATGTATATGGCGTATATGAATTTCCATTTTTTAGACTTGCTTTCTAAAAACCTATATATCTCATATTATATGCCTGTTTTAAAATATGTTTATAAATATGATGTCAAATATTTATTTAATGATTGAACTAAGAAAGACATGTTTCAAATACTGAATGCTTTACAAAATATCGTTTTTAATTCGGTAAGAAGTATATTCAGGGTTCTCCATAGGCCGTTTAACGTGGCGGCCCCGCCACAGTTAAATTCTCTAGCGCCACAGTTAAAAAAAACAGCGCCACAGTTCCGCCACAGTTAAAATATTAGCGCCATAGTAAGATCGTCGTTGTCAGTAAGATGAATATCTAAATTTATTAATCATATAAACTTCTAAATTATGTACCGTAAAGGCGTTTTTCAGTTTCTAATGCTAAACTGTTAATGTGCTCTAATTAGGATCCACTGTTTGGTTTTTACAATTAATTATCTTCCAGACCTCGCTAGATACATGAATGAAAAGCGACAAGCCATTTTTTTCACACTTCACGATAATTACATGTACAACTGAATTTTAAAATACCAATTAATTCATTGCCTTAATAGTTTTACAGATAACTACATGTAAGTTTCTAAAATTGCATTGACACTACGAGTCAAAACATAGTACTTGTATCGATCGTAAATATTCATGTATTTTTGTAATGTTGAAAAATTAACAAATAATGAATACATCCACCAAAATATAATTTGATGACCATAAACTCTTTTTTAATTCACAAGTTTTCACATGTAAGATACTTCATACTAATAATTGCAAGTATAAAGACTAGATGTAAACATGACTGGTGACCTACCAGAATTTCGTCTGAACTTTAATGAACACGGCAGGTAAACAATATTATTTTTTAAATTAGGGTTAAATGCTAGAAAGTTGTAATTACTGGTGCTATTACGTGTATTTTCAGATTCTATAAGCTAATATTTGTTTATTTATAAGTACGTATGCGTTTGGAAGGGGGGGGGGTCTTTTGTCACAGTTATACATATACATTAATAAATTTGTGTATTAAACTATGGATTCATAGGGGCAGTGTGTTTTTTTTTCAATTTATTTCGTGGTTCCTTCGCAGATTCGGTCGCGAAATGACCGCGAATTTAGCACTTCGTGTAAGTCTTGCGCCAGAGTTAAATCTGAAATGATGGAGAACCCTGATATTATAAATAAAGTAAACAAATTCTAAATTTGGCACCAAAAAAAAAAAAAAAGAAAAAAGAAAAAAAACACGAAAAGAAAAGGCAATTCATCATATATATATATATATATATATATATATATATATATATATATATATATATATATATATATATAAATATAAATATATATATATATATATATATATATATATATATATATATATATATATATATATATATATATAACAATTATTCGCAAATGTCACATTCAGAACTCTAGTCGGCGACTAATTTAGTCATCATGGCGCAAAAAAATCTGACAACAGTTCGCTAAATTCAGCATTTAAATTCACTTGGCGACCGACAAATTTTTGTTTGAATATCACTTCATTTTACACATCAAAACAAATAATAATGTATCATTAACCCAACAACAGATCCTATTAAATTGGATTATTAGCACATCGATTCATAGTTTCGAAGGAAAAAAAACCATTTGAAATTTTTGGAGTCATTGTAGGCCAAACAACGCCCGTATACAGAATTCTACTACGATTATTGCCGAGATCAAAGAAATGCCGCGGACATTATTCTCCAATAAATCACGAAGTCATCAAAAAATTATCAGATCAGAAACACATGTCAAATCTGTTCAGTTGAAATAAATATTTTACTGTATAATCTAATACTTATTTAGACCACATCGATGTGTCGTCTTCCGCAGTCTAAACGTGTGTATTGCCTGAAACAGCTGATAAATATCCGTTTTTATAGCGGGGCTGTTCTACGGACCTCCCCACAACATTTACACTCCCGTGATTTTACTGATAAATCAATGAAATAGACAACTGGTTTTATTATTTTTCATTCATAAAAATTAATCAACATATGTTACAAGCAAATTTATAAATAATTAAAGGATATTTTTAATCCAACAAAAGCTGAAATCGTCTGCATTTTATGCAATCGATTGACCCTTTGGTGTTAAATGGAACAGCGAAATTGCGACATGGTGACCTAATTCGTTTCTCTATAGAGAAAACGATCAACTGTATTTTAGAGCCGTTAGTAGAATAGAAATAAAGTCCTTGTTGTCGTGAATGATGCAGGATAACCTCCTCGGTCTCGAAATGTTGTCTGAAATATAAAAGCCTCGGCTAACGCCTCGGCTTTTATATTTCAGACAACATTTCTCGACCTCGGAGGTTATCCTGCAACATTCACGATAACGCGGACTTTATTTCTTAAATAACCTTAGTTTGTGTTATGGATATTCAATTAATGAACAAAAAAGCTAATCAATAGTTTTCAACCTATCAACCTTTATATTTGATTCTTTTAAAGATATCCCTTTCTCCATTAAAACAATTATTTTGTTATTTACATTAAACACACGTTATATTTGTTACATGGCAAGGCATATACTGTATGATTTCTTTCTTACCTGTATATCGTGGCTCACGAGGAATTCTGTTATTACTTCGTAGTACTGTTATCTTTCTTTCTGTCTGGTCACGTGATTTAAATACCTGACGTGCATTTGAGTTTGAAATTAAGCTCTAACAATGAGTTGAAAATTACCCCTGTTGATTAGATGTGGCACACGACTGATTTCAGATTGTTACTATGTGATTTTTTTTAAATTAACACATGAAGTTTTTATCCAATGCCTTTGCAAAAATAAAACTTTGATTTAGAAATAATCTTTAATTGATTTTCAGTGTTTCGGGCGAAGGATTGAATAAAAACTGATTTTCTTTTTGTTTATGTTCTTCAATTGTTGGAAAGTTGATTAATCTGCTTATATTATTTTACCCAAGTGATTCACCGTATACATCTGTGCTGCAAAAATAAGAACAACTTTTAAAACTCTCTTTCACTTACGAATGAGAGTTCCTACATGGTAATTTGTTTGACTTATGGCTACAGCGGGACCCATCAAGGGTAAAATAATTATACACAGGAATATACAAAAATGATCTGTAAAATTCAT